CATTCTCGTGATTCGTATGCACACGATTATAATATCAAACATCGATTTTCGTATTTATGCCTGATCTAAAAATTACGCATTGGGATTCCGATTCAAACAATCTAAAAAATATGCATCGTGGTTCGTATTTACGCGATTTAAAAATTCCTTATCACTATTTGTATCTTCGCCATTTCAAAATCCAATATCGCTATTCATATTCTCGTGATTTTAAAATCCAATATCTCGATTTTTGTCAGAAGTAAGTTTTTCCTTGAATTAACATCTATAAAGGTGTGATATTCTTCATACCCAATATTGGGTCGGCTGTTCAACGATGATTATAAAATAAAATATCAAATTGGTCCATTAAATAGGTCTAGGGAAAAATATGTTTCTAGCAGTTCGTTTTAAGGGAATTAAGAGCTTAAAATATTAATTTATGCATACTTCATCTAAAATTAGATTAAAAGACAGGCTGTGAATAATAAAGTGTAAGAAGGCGTTTTGTTTTGAGTATTTATTAAGGAAGAAGATTTAGATAAATGAATAACATAAAAAGATTAGTTGAAGCTTTTTGTGTTTATATATATATAGTTTGAAAAGTTCTGAAATCCGTGCTTCTTTTTAACATTATTTATTATTAAGGCCCAGATGTTGATGACATTTGCATTTTTTTTGCAGTTTTGGGCATTTTTTGTCTTTTAGAGCATTTTTTTAGATTTATAGGGCATTTTTCTTTAAATTTAGGGGCGTATTTTGCATTTTAATACATTTTTTAAAGTTTTCTGTTAATTTTTTCAAATTTTTATTATTTTTTATCAATTTTCATTATTACACTGGCTTCCAAACAATGAAGAAAATCTATAGGATATTAACAGGTGAAGCAAATTCTTTTCAAATTGAAGAAGAATTGTCAGTAAGTGAGACCGTCTTTTTCAAGTACACACCTATAACATCAGTAGACGTTGAAAGAAGCTTCTGCAGGAATGAAAATTTACTTTCAGACAAGAGACGCTCGTTTACATTTCAAATTATCAAAAAACATTTAATAATCCAATGTAATTCT